TTGCTATATAATGATTCAGAGAAGCTCTCCAATTTTTACTTGCCTGAAAATCTTGTATTCTCTGCATACTACTGATGAGGATGCCAGAAGTTTAAAGGACTGGAGGGAGCATCCTATTCGAACTAATCCAAACATTGCTCTTGATGTGGGAGAGAATGTCCCAGAGAGGTAGAGACATTCCAGAGATGGATACTTCAAAATACATACTAAAATACGTGGGGTTTGGAGACACTGGAAAGTGAGAGGCAATACCATGAAGGTATCCCAACTATAAAAGCCATTCCCAACCTCCAGCTCTCTTCTTAGCCACAGAGACATAGGTGTCAAAGGCCTCATAGTCAACAAACCAATGGCTCCGAATTCAAAGGTCTTTTCCGTGGACTTTCCAGAGCAACACCATGTCTATTCTTATGACCTCATAGAAATCACCTTCTACCTGGCTTCACACTATTGCCTTTATCATGGTTTTATTCTTGCCTTTCTTCCTGCTTGGCTATACCTCCTCTGCCACATCCCAGACCAAGACTTTACCACTTATAAGTCATTGACCCCTAAATCTACGTCTCTGTCATTGGCCATTTTTCTGATTTCCATCTCTTCATTCTACATCTTTGTCAAGATGTCTCTGAGAACTCAGTTTACCCAGCACTGAACTCTCCTGTCTCCTCTTATCCCTGCACACACCTCGCCAGCACATTGGCTTTTTGTTAATCATCATTCACACCCAAGCACAAATCTCAGGAATCGTTCTGGGTTTATTCCCTTTACAACATCCTATTAGCCAGCAAGTCTCATTCATTCTGCCTCTTCCAAATTTCCTGCCCCTACCGTCATCTTCCTCTGGCTTATTGCTGTCACCTTTATAATTAGCACTGCCACACCTCAGCTCACCTCCCATGTTGTAGATTTCATCCTTCTATGAGTAAGTTTGCATTTGCTAAAGATTCCTCTCCAGCACACCCTTTTCCCTGAAGTGTTCCCTGACTTGGCTAGTTCTTCCTCTCTACCACCTATCACGCTGAACAGTTCACTTAACCTCATTGCCTCTTCCCCTGAATCCCAACCTGGACAACAGAGCCCTGTTTAGCTTAGTATTGCCAGTACTCAGAACATAAGAGATATTTAAACTTTTATTAAATTGAATACTAATCTGAATTTTTCTCCTCAGTAACTTCTATTCATTCTACACTACCCCTTTATAACTACCCAGAATGTTTCATTCTTCTTTCACTTGCATTTCTTTTGATATTTATAAATAATGTTTGAAGTTTTCCTAAGTCTTCTCTTTTCCCAACGTATACCAGCAAATCTCTTCACTGTTTCTGACTTTGTTTTCAGGACACTTCTAGGAAACTGTCTTCTAGAGGTGAGTCATTTCTCAATGCTCCTTTAAGAATCAAGCATTAATATTGAGGTGTGAGCTGAATGGAATGGATACAGGCTGTGTATAGTCTGTACTTAAAATGTAGCCAAACATTGTGAAAACTTTCTTAGATACACCCTCTTGTTAATCACAAATAGGGGATAATTAAACATTCAGATTTTTTTTTTCATATGAAATGTCAATTTCTGCAGGAATTTTTTTTTAAGTTTAAATGCAGAACTTAACATTTCTTTCCATTATTTTCAAATTTTCCTCTTTGCCTTTTGAAAACTTTCATTCTTAATTCTGTAACTTAACATATTAGCTGTCCCTCCTTAATTTTGGATGGCCTGAAAAAATTTGATTAATGTTTTTTCCTCTAAGTTCGTATAGAAATGAAATTCAACCCCTGCTTTCTTTTTTTTTTCTTTTCTTTTTTCTTTTGATACCAAGGGTTGAACTCAGGGACACTCAACCACTGAGCCACATCCCCAGCCCTTTTTTATATTTTATTTAGAGATAGGGTCTCCCTGAGTTGCTTAGTGCCTCACTTTTGCTCAGGCTGACTTTGAACTCGAAACCCTCCTGCCTCAACCTCCCAAGCTGCTGAGATTATAGGCTTGCGCCACTGCGCCCAGCTACACTGATTTCTTTGAAGACATTTATCACTGGAACATTCATATTGAAGCATCAAATAGAAACTTTTTAATTAAGGGAAAAAATCTTTATGGGATTTCTCTTTCAGAATTTTTCATTATAATCCCTATAGATATAGATAATTTGATAAGAATATACAACACAAGTTACTTCTAAAAGTTCACTTTTTTCAAGCGTTCTCTCCATCACCAAAAACAAAAGGAGAGGAAAGAAAACCACAAGGTAATGTTAGGCATTTGAAAGATTTGGGTATTTCAAGTAGGATAAGAGAAGATTTAAGAGCAAGAAGTCACAGATGGTACCTGAAAAGAGAGAAAGGCATTAAATTGCTTAAAAGTGTATTCTATATTACCAAATGTTTATGATTTGTCTCAGAATTTTTCTTTTGAGTCAAATTGCCATAACATACCTAATCAAGAGCAGTTAACAAACTTCTAAGAGTGGAACATCTAAGGATGAGCAGGGGAAGCAGGAAGAGCCATGTTCTTAAATTACAAAGAGACAATTATTAGGATGGTGAATAAGAAGAGGTCTAGACCAGAGACTAGATCAGTATCAGCAGGAGGAAACACTGAGAGGACTCAGGGCTCAGAAAGAGAAGTCAGAAGGGTCCAATATGAGTCAAATTGACTCATCAAGAGAACAGGAACACGGAGCAAAGCTTTGAGTCCTCGAAAGGGAAGATTGGGACGGCATACTCAAGAGAGACTAAAATCTCACCTAAAAAGTTCCTGGCCTCAAGTCTGATCTTTGCAGAATTTCATAAATCATCTGAAAAGAATCCTCCCATTCACAGGTTAACACATTGATGTTTCTACTCTTTTTCTTTACCTAACTGTGCAGGTGGCTTTTCAAAGTAAGTGCGTAGTACACCTTCTTGCAGGGCTGGAGGTATAACAGGTCACCAGAGGAGCTTCCCAGTCTCCTGCTCTTCCCTGACTTATCATGGACCAGATTTTTTTTACAGTATTCTAAAAACATTTTTGTTTTCTCAGCTTCTGATAAAGTGTAATCAGATCAGCAAATTCCTCAGTGCAGCATTGACCAAACTTCCTGGATATAAACAGGTGACTGAGAGCAATAAGCCAGTTCTGTAACCTATACTACCACATTAGACGCATTTTTTTTCTTTTCCCCTCTTGATCTATCCATTCATACCTGCCCATTCATAGAAGCCTACAGAAATCATTTTCAGATTTGGGCAAAGGTACATATATGTGGGTCACAGGTTGAGGTATTGTATAATTGGTGAATAATGAAGAAATCAACTAGAAACAATGATAACACATGGACAAAAATGTGTAATTTCAAAAGTGACTATCAGGAACTGTGAAACTGATGGTCTAATGGCCCTAGTTGCTGTATACAAAAATGCTGATGCACAGTCCTGATCTTCAATCCCAACTTTGGAACCCTTTAGTTCTCTCTGTGAGTTGACTTCCCTTTTTAGCAAGTCTGTCTACCAATTTACTGGAATCTCTAATGTTTGTTACCCATGGACTTAAGGCTCAGCCTTGTGTTTACTAGAGGACTTAGAAACTCAACTCCACTCACCAAGTATAGACAGTGATTAGCATCTTTAGCCAATATTTTCATCAGTGTTAATTCTTACCTTCAGTTTTCAAAGCCCTGGGGAGACTATAGATTAGTTGTGAGTTGTCACAGTGTTCTTCTGTAGAAGCTCTATTTATACATTTGGGTTTCCTTGACTGTCATGGCATCGTCAGCTCCTACATTAGAGCTGGCAAGAGCAGGTGCTCAGTAAAAGTGCACTACTTCAATTTAAGCAAACCTTTTCCCCAATCCAGTCATGTTATTTTCAGTGATTTGTTCCCCAGCAAAAACAGAGCATTACTGAACCCATATTCATTAATTTTTTTCAACAAATATTTCACAGCCTCCTACTATAAGCATGCAAAGCATATCCCATGTAAGGCAAAGAAAAATAAAGTTGTTCCTACTCTTAAAAAGCCAGTAGTACTGGAGACCGAATGAGAACAAATGTATTATATTCCGTGCTTGTATAATCAAGTTAAAATAAGCCCCAATATTATGTATAACTGTAATATACTAAAAAAAGAAAAACTATAATAAATTTTTTAGATATTAGATCTCTATACATATCTAGCAAAAAAATTGAATTGTAAGCAGAATTCAATGTCAGTCTCATTTTTTAAAGGAGGAAATACATTTTTCTTTTTAAGAATAACAAGTGTAACTTGTTCTCTAATGAAATCTCGGGCAATGCATAGGAGAATTCTGAATACATTGGAAAAGACTGAAGACGTGCATCGTGACCTATGTCTTTCTCCAGAAGATAATATTGTCTAGTAATTCAGCTAATATGTACAGAAAGAAACAGAAGCAAAGTCCAGATTTATTTAACACTAAAAAAATTAATTTGATTTATAAGAGAATGTCAGTAAGGTATAAGAAAGTGGTATGCTGGGAAGTATTGTAAGCCCTTAGCAAAACTTTGATTTTGTCTGCATAATTCACAACATTTATACTAAAAAATTAAAACAGAAGTAAGCAAAATGTTGTGTAAAGCCACATCTGGAATTTTAACTGGTTTTCCCATTTTTAATTTATAATTTTTTTGCTTTTTTTTGATTGATGTCTTGATAATGGCAAACATTTTTATAACAGAATGTTGTTCTAGCATTATTTTCATATGATTTTTAAATTTATATTCTGTACTTATAAGCATTACTTATACCCTAAGAAAGAAATTTTCCAGTAAAAGCTTTCTTTTTGACTGCCAGTAGATTAAGAACCCTCTTATTTAAAAACTTAGTTAATATTTGTTTAGATTTCCATGTCAGATACTATGCTCAATCATTTAAATTTCATTCTTTTAAATCCAAATTGTCCTTACAAGATATGTGTTATTTTTATATTCCAAAGATAAAATACTCAGTTGTAGAGGTTGTGTTAGTCTTCTAGCGTTGTCATAATAAAGTACCACAGACTAGATGGCTTAGACAACAGGACTTTATTTTCTCACAGTTAAGGATGCTAGGCATCCAAGATCGAGATGTTAGTGGTGCTGGTGTCTGGCCATGGCCCTCTCCCTGGTTTGCAGATGAATGCTTCTCCTCTGTCTTCATGTGGCCGTTCCTCTGTGCACTCATGGAAAGAGAATGTGAGAGCTTATTGGTGTCTCTTCTCATAAGACCTCACTACTGTTGCATGAGGCCCCACCTTTATGACCTCATTTAACCAGTTACCTTTGTAAAGGCCCTATGTTTAAACAGTTACATGAAGTATTAAGGCTTCAGTGTATGAATTTTGGGGAAACACAGTGCAGCCCATAGCAGAAATATTAAGAGGATATGTGAGAGCCAAGATTGGAGCCTAGGTAGCCTGACTCTAGAGCCTTGAGCCTCCCACTACTTTATATTTTCACTCATTTGACCTCATGTGGGAATATCTGCTTCTGTTTTCCAGAAACTGTAGCAGGATACTCAAAAATAGGAGTAAAAGGGGGATAGAAATTATTTGTGTTAAAGAATATGAAAACAAAACTCATTAAGTTTAAAATGAAAAGACAAACCACAAATTGGCAGAACATATTTACAGAAGAAGCAAATATTACCTGAAATATATAAGAGTTTATAAAGTTCTATAGTAAGTAAACAACCTGTTTTTAAAAATGAACAAAAGACTTGAACAGACACTTCACCAAAGAAGTTTTATACATGACAAGTAAACATGAAAAAGATATCCTTAAAGAAGTGCAAATTAATACAATAATGGAGCACTACTACACATCTGCTAGAGTGATGAAGATCTCAAATGCTGATAGCACTATATGCTGGTAAATATGTAGAGCATTAGGACCTCTGATTCATTGCTGGTGGGAATACAAATGCTACAACCACTTTGAACAGTTTGGACATTGAATTTCTTGGTATGTACGCAAACAAGTTGAAAATGTCCACACACATTAATCTTGGTCCATATAAAAACCTGCACATGGAAGCTTGCAGTAGCTTTATGCATAATTACCAAAAATTTAGAAGAAACTAAGATGTCCTTTAGTAGGACAAACTAAGATGTCTTTTAATAGGATAAACTGTGGTATGTCAAGACATTGGAGAGTTTATTATTCAGTGCTAAAACCAATGAGCTATCAAGCTATGAAAAGACATGGAATAGACTTAAATGCACATGACTGACAAAAAAGCCATTCTGAAAAGGCTCTCTACTGTATGATCCCTCCTATATGATATTCTGTGAAAAGCAGGTTTAAAGATCAGTGGTTTCCAGGAGTTGGAAGGGAGGCATTAATGAACAGGTAGATCATAGAGGATTTTTAGGGCCGTGAAACGATTCTGTACAATACCACAAAGATGAGTACATGGCACTAAACATTTGTCCAAAACCCAGAAAATGTATAATGGTGAAAATTAATGTAAACTATGGCTTTGGGTGGTCATATGTCAGTGTAGATTTATTGATTGTTACAAATGTACCAGTCTGGTGGGGGACATTGATAATGGAAAAGATTATGCACATGCAGGGCTAGGGGATATATAGGAAATCTACTACACCCTACCCAGGAAAAAAAAAAAAAAACCCTCTTGTTTACTTAATTAAACAAAAGTAAAATAAGCTGCATAGGAACAGTTTTGAAGTCCAGACCCAATTTTGTTTTAAAAGGACAGATTTTGTTCTAAGGCTGTAGTAGCTGATACAGTGTCTCCTTGCACCTTCTCCAGCCTTCTCTGTAGACCACAGCAATACACCCAGAAGCCTGTTAGCTAACACAGGAATTTTTGAACACGTTTCCATTGGTTCTTCATCTGTTCATTGCCTGTAGGAAATCTCTGTACTTGCTGCTTAATTTTGCTGTAAACTTAAAAATGCTCTAAAAATGGCTATTAAAAGATACATATGAATCTGTGACTTACCCAGTAAAAGTTGGTCTTTGGTGCTATGGAAGAGATGTATGTGTTTTTTCTTCTCTGACTTCTTGAAAAGGATACAAATAAAGCAATTTAATTCACTGTAGATTGAATATTTTTAATCTCTAGAAATCCTAAGGAAATTACAGTAGTATAGTAATGGTCCAATTTTGTAACACAGTTTCTACATCTTGGTTAATAATCTCTGAGGAAATAAATCAACATTATGTTAATTAAACTTTAAGTCGGCCATACTTTGGTAGGTATTATGCTGCTGAAGAGATAAAGTCAATATGCAGACGCCTAGAATATCAAGATATTGTCAGGAAATTGCAGCTGAGATGAAACAAATTCATACATCCTGAAACAAGAATATAAATGGAGATAATGTGAATGACAATAAATACTAGAAGCAGGCATCCTGGAAGAATGGAAATACTTCTTACTGCACATTTGAAAACTCTTTACACACAGTAAATGAGTTTTTTATGCAAGAGAATAAAATAGCATAGAGAGGCTGTCAGAGAAAAGCCACTGATCATTGAAGCTGGGAAATACAATTCATTGTTAGACGATCACTTTGAAATATGAAAAACAACTATATACATATATGATGAGACAAGTATGGGATTAATTCAAGAGTATAAAAACATTTTCTCTACAGTGCCAGGTATTATATAATGTATCCTATAATATTCTTTTGCCCAATCTTGAATTAAAGCTACCTCTGAAAAAAAGTTTTTATGAACTTTACCTAAAAGTCATGACCTTAGTAACTATTAATGATTGAATTCAGCTCAATAATCATTATTGAATCAGAACCCTGTATCAAGTAAGAAATTAAACTCTGCAGATTCATCTCCTTTCTCCATCCTACCCCAAGGAGCTTACATCTATCCCAGATTGGGATAAACATGAGTGAAATGCAACATAAAGAAAAATCGGGTTCAGAGGATAGGTAAATATTTGAGTTTATCTTATCTATTTTGGGATGCTGGCTCAGTGTCCCTTCAACACCAAAGTATCAGATGAAAAATTTAAACATCAGCTACTTTGTAAATATTTGTAGCAAGTTACCTCAATAACTGTGCATTTGAAAACTTGCAGAGGTTTAAAATAGTAGGATGAAATATTCTCCTAATCAACAGGCCTCTCAACTCTTTTGCTATGGAGCAGACATAATTCATCCTTACATTTCACACTGTTTTTCAAGAGAATATTAAATGTACTTTAATCATATTGCGTCTTAGCTTGTCTTTCTCACAGCTCTCATTTGTTAACACAGAAAATAATGAGTCATCCATAATTGTGAAGAAGGAGAAAAAGGGACAGCTCAGCCTCAGCAGCGGCTGCCACTGGTCGGGTCTCTTCCATTTGCAGATGGATTGCCAACTGTGTGTGATGCTGTTTTTGAAGGCTGCTTTCAAAGAGCAGGTCACATGATGCCTGCTGCATAATAGGCACTCCATTGCTCTCGTTTAATTAATTAGCTAATTAATTAATTAATAATGACATTCCTCTTGAGTGACTAATAGACCAACTCAGACAAGAAAACACACACAAGTCACACACATAATTGTGACTGGTGTGTTTCACCATTTCACTGAATCACTTCAGCACTGAAGCAGTGCTAAATGACCATGAGTTAGTCAGTGTCCCTACCACCCCATGAGCCTCTGCTTTTCTTAAAGATAGAAATGATAATGACTAATTCAAGGGGTGAAATGGTTAGGATGAAGGGAGAAGGATCCAGTAGTCAACAATGAATGATCCGTTGAGCCCTGCCCCACAGAGGGATATAGGCTCCCCTATGACCTTTGCAAACATGGACACACACATACACACACAGGCACACAAAATCATCCCTTTGACAGCACTGGTGCCCTGAAGTTAGATCTGACTTTACTTCATTGCTTCTTGTGTCCTCATCCCACACTGCAGATTCTGAGGATGTGACAAGGATCAGTGGGGAGTAGAGTCAGGCTAAGTGGAGGCCACTCTCCCTGAAGTTGACAAGATGTTATGTTTGCCTAAACTGTTCCTAATGAAAGTGTTAAAAAAAATCATGAAATGGATGGTTTAAGCATAATGGTGAAATAATCAGGGTTCAGAGCATGTAAAATACCAGTCAGTGATAGTTCTGGGAGGAAGGACAGCTATGGCCAGAGAGGAGAAGCCTTGGGCTCTACACAGTCACATCCCAGCTTCATGATGTGACAGCTTCACTTAGTCTCCAGTACCACCTTTGATGAGTGGAAAAAGTAACACTCAACCTACAGGGTACTGTGAGAATTAAGCTTGAGTACCGAGGATGACAGGAGGCAGAGGCACAGTAGACATTAGTTTCTCTCTATAATGAAATCCTGAGGGCCCTGTGGGTGGCCTACACTAGGAAAGGGCAAGGTCCAGCATTTTATGTATAAATCCATCTTGCAAAAGCAGAATACTAGCAAAACCAAGGCTGCTCCCCAATCGGTTGGTTTAATGTGAAAATTAGATTTCAGGGATGGGGTTTGAGCCGAATGGGTTGATTCTTTCCTCAGATTCCCAGTAATCTGATAAGCACACTTAACCATGATTTTTTCCACTAGTTTTCCAATATTTCTAATCTTCAATGAATTTCATTTTTTATTGCTCCCTTCTGGAACTAAATCTTCTGCCACTGTTGGTTGTTGCTTTTTAAAGCTTCATTAAAGCTACTTGGATAAAGGCTTTGAGCTTTGAGAAACACAGTTTGCTTGCCTGCCTACTTGTGCTGCTTCACTTTGCTTTAATGTGAAACCCTACAATGAATCTCCGGAGTTTTGTTTTAGGAAAGAAAATACCTTATCTCAAGCAGCTCTTCTTGCCTCTGCCTGCCTTGGTGACACATATAAAATGATGTGGTGCTTAATCTTTTCATTTTGGTTCACCTAGAAAACAAGTGGTGGAAGATCCAGGGGGCTGAAAAAGCCCTGGTGCCACCCTCGACCGGGTTCTGCACAGGCCAAGCTGCTGCAGAGGCCTGGAGCTCCTGAAGCCAAAGAACTTCAAGGGAAGGTGTTATGGTTTGCATATTTGAGATGTCCCCAAAACACTCCTGTGTCAGTGCAGGAATATTCAGAGGTGAAATGATTGCATTGTGAGAGCTGTAACCAAATCAGTGCATCCTAGTTTGAATGGACTGACTGGCTGGTATGGGCAGCTGGAGCATGGCTGGGGGGAGGTGGGTCACTAGAGAGAGGCATGCTCTGGTAGGTTGCATATTCTCTGTGGCCACCTCCCTCCCTGCTCTGCTTTTCCCCAGTTGCCATGAGTTGATAATTTTCCCCTGCCACTGCCCTTCCGCCATGATGTTCTCCCTCGCCTCTGGCCCAGAGCAAAGGAGTCAGTCAGCCATGGACTAAACCTCTGAAACTATGAGCCTCAAATAAACTTTTTCTTCTCTGAGTTTAACTTGCTGGGGACTTTGTTCCCAATGAGAAAAAAAGCTGACTAACACAGAAGGAATAATAGGAACTAATATTTTTGAGCAGTTACAGGAACCTTGTCTACTTTGTTTTATTCTTGGAAGATGAGCAAGAATTCTTTTAGCTGTAGATCATTCCTTGGCCATTCACCATTAAATCATGGCAGCACCACCTTCTAAATCTATCCAGAATGTGACCACACTATAACATTCCTACCTGTTAGCCTAGACTAGGCCTTCAATGCTCAACTGGACTTTCTAGCATCTCCTAAAGATTAGAATGATCTCTTCCGATGCGTCTTGCAGTCTGCACTTAACACTGTAGTCCAAGTGATTCTCAAATAAGTCAGATGGTGCCTCTGCTCTGCTGAGTGACTGCCTATCCTTCTGGTTAGTCCAGGAGATTCTGGCCTGGATGTCAGCCCATGCTTGCTGGGTAAGTTTCCATGCTGCCTGCACATGGTCTGCCCTGTGCCCCTTCCTTGGGCTCTTCTCTGCCATTTTTTACTAACTGGTGCCACTCCAACTACACATACTTACTTGCTGTTCCTTTTCCCAAGTCCAACTCTTCTGCCTCAAGTCCTTTGCACTTGCTGGTTGCTAGATCTGGAATTCTCTCAAAACTTATTTTCTGTAAGCGCATCCTCAAATAGGACCTTAACAAAGATGCCTTCCTTGACCATCTTAAATAAAACTTCATTCTCAGATCCTCTCTCATCCTCTGGCTCACTCTGTTGCTCACTATATATACCAACTTTCATTTTTTTTTTTTTTTTTTGAGAGAGAGAGAGAGAGAGAGAGAGAGAGAGAGAGAATGAATCTTTTTTGTTGCAGATGGACACAACACAATCCCTTTATTTTAATGTGGTACTGAGAATTGAACCAGGGTCCTGGTGAGCCACAATCCCAGCCCCAACTTTCATATATTTTTGTTTTGTCTACTTCCACTACTATGGGAATTTCATGAAAGAGACACTAACAAATGAGATTAACTTTCTGGGAGAAATTAATTTACTTACCTCTAATCTACGTGTTGCACCTCGAATTCATCCCCCAGTCTGGCTGTCTCTGCAGCCTCTGCTCTTTCTGCTAAATCCAGCAGCTGACTTTGAAGCAAAAATAGCCATGCTCCATCCATTGCTATTGTAGGTCTGCAAATTCAATAAAGACAGAATACTCAAAGCACACTGCACTTTCATATCTACCTGCTGCATCTAAATCCTGCAAACCTACAGGCATTATCCACTTGCTGACAAGGTTACTCAGCCTGGGGAAGTTTAAGCCTTTATCAGTCTCAGGTTTGCTGGGAGAGAGCAGAGAGCAAGAGTGAGCCTAACAAGGGATTCCTTAACTCCCATAGTTTGTGTCACCTCTGCAAGTATTAAACATGCTCTTTTTTTATTAGTTTTTTTTCCTTGCACACATCATCTCTCTCCCATTGTGACTCAGGAAAAAAATAGTGATTCTTTTGAAATAAAATAGTCTTCCTGCATGCTATATTAATACACAACCCTACCTTTAAATACCTTCAGTATATTTTCTGTACTATTACCAGGAGAGTCTTTATAAAACATGAATCTTATTATTTTATGCCCCTGCCCCTGTTTTTTAAAACTGCAAACAAAACAAAAGCACAGTTCCTTGACCTGGCATACAACATCCTTTCTAACTGAATTCTTGTTCACCTCTCAGCCTTCCGCCCAGCTTTCTCTGCCTGGAAACTTTTAATTTCACAATATGAAATGATTTAATAAAGTTTAGTAGATATCCTTCAATTTTGCATTAAAAAAAAACTCCAGACACTCTAAAAAAAAAAAACCTATGTTCTCTGCACTATTTCTATCTGTTGTGCATTTCTGGTTGTCATTAATATCTAGCACTGCTTGAGAGCCTGCGATGTGTTGAGCATTGTTTGGGGTGTTTTAGACATTATTGGATAATCACCACATAATCCTCCTCAAAAGCATTCTTGTCCATGTTTCATATGTAAAGGAGCTGAATGAAGCTCACAGAGCACACAATCCCATAGCTTGAAATTGGGAGAGCAGGGTTCTGAGCTGCATTTTCTTGCCACAGTATGAGTGCCTGCCCTCCTATGGTGCATGCCACCATCTGCCTAGAGGATTCCACCTCCTCCTGAGAGCCACAAGCTTGTCACTGGCAGAGCCTTTGCTTTCTCTTGTCAGCTGCATGCCTCAATGGCCTGGGCCATCAATTTTGCAGTTATATTAGTTTATTGTCTGTGAAAAAGAATATGACTGGGAATTGTGTTTATCACATAACCATCATGGGACAGTGAGCCCTCCCTCTTAGCCAAATGATCTTGCTCTTCACCACTCCTTCAAGGCTGTCTAAGCAGTGCCTGAGCTTCGCTAGTGTTTGCTTATTCAGTGTGCCATGAGACCTAGTCCGTAAGCACAGCAGGCCATGAGCACCCTTGTTTTGTTGCAGGGAGGCGATTTATAAGCATACTTATTTTCTGTCACTGAGAAAAGCACTTGTAGCTTCTGTTCTTCATGCCATCAATAGGAAACTGGCTTTGGGTTGTCCTTCCAGTGGAGGTAATTGACTTCTGTTGATCTAACCATGCTGGCTTTTTTATTCTTTTAATATTTTTATTACAGTAATAATGCATGTCTCATGTATTCCAAGAAAACTTTGAAAGATTCATATTTTCTGATGGGCTGAATGATTTGAAAGTTCATATAGAAAAATAAATATAAGAATTCCCAAGAATATATGAAGGAGGAGAAATAATGAGGTGGAACATGGAATATCAGACATTGGAATTTACTTTAAAGCTAATGCAATAAAAAAATGGTATTTGCACACACAAAAAAAGCAAACAAAAGAGTGGAATAGAATCAACCCAACAAACATATAGAGGTACATGTGAGAAGTTACTGTATAATAATGAGAGCGTTTCCATTCCATAAGAAATAGAGTTTATTTAATAAGTAATATGGCACTATTTGTCTACATGCACAAGAAGTTCATCTTTTAATAACCAACTAAATCATTCAAAGTCTTAAATGAATAAAGTAAGAAAATAACACTATATGTCTATATACTTATGGAGTTTTTCTGATGTTATATAACATAGTACATTTACAATTTTAAAAGTTTAGGACTTATTTTTTAAAGTAATGTTTACATAATACACATTAAAACAGTCCAGAAGTTTTAGAAATACATATTTAAGGACTCCTTCCTTTTCATTACAGTAATAATGCATATCTCATGTATTCCAAGAAAATTTTGAAAGATTCAAATTTCCAGTACACTGTTTCTCTTCCCAGATATTTTTATATGATTAACATATACACAGGCACTCAGACATCTAGAGTTTTTTTTGTTTGTTTGTTTGTTTTTTGTTTTTTTTTTTTTTTACTTAACGGGAATGATGTTATACTATTTTGTAAATTTCATTATTTATATTAACATTTATGGGGACAGCCTTCCACAAAATATCTATCTATACACATATCTTGTTCTTTCCAAGCACTATGTATTATATTCTTATATGGTTCTGCTTCAATTTATCTGAGTAATCCTTTATTGATAAGAGAAGCCTTTAATATACTTTTTAGAGTCAAATCATATAGAAGGATCAAAAAGTAAAAGCTGGGTGATCTTATACTGTATCCCTAATTTGCTCCAGAAGAAAAAATGTAAAAGTTTCTGTGTTATGTATTATATCTTAAATTACATTTTCCTCTTTTTATTTTTTTTTCTCTTTCAATTTTAGAGAACAGCTATCGACTTGCTGATTTAGGAACTATGCAGTCTAACTAGTTTAGTTTAGACTGCATCTCCTCTACTTCCCTCCATCTGCTGTTTTGTTCTGTGACTGTAATTATGTATTCCATGTTTAGTTCATAGGTTAATTCAAGCGTTAAAACAAACTTAAAAGGCATTAATGGAATTGTGCTTTTATTAATATTTGCTAAAGAACCAAGTTATGCTATTGAATTTATAAAGAAAGAAATATAATGTTCAGATATTAATCTCTAGCCAATCAAAGAACAATTCCCCAAGCACAGAGGTCCAAGTGGGGGGTTTCTCTTTTATTTATTTATTTATTTTGGGGGGGTTTCTCTTTTAATTTCTTTTTGAGTTTTCTTTCCTTAAATCATATTCCTTGATATTCTTGTGGCTATGATTTTTTTATGTATTTATAATATACAAGCTTTTTGTTCTGTTGTTTGCTTTTGGAGAATGCATGGAAGAGACAAACTTTATGAAAATTTCTGTGACTGGAAATGCTACATAAAAACTAATTTAAATAAGGAATTTTGAGTGCAAAGTCTTTACCCCAGTGAGTTATTTTCTCATTGTCCCTTGGGTTCCAGGGTTCTCTTGCACTCAGAGGCATCTGCTGTTTATCTCTTTTTCCTTCCTTTATTGATTATCTCATTTTTTCTCTCTTTAAAAATTTTTAAAAATTTTCTTTCCACAGATGTTAACAGAACATGTTTAAGTTTGGAGTCTTTTTTCCATCTACCTCACATATCTTTGATGATGATTTCAGTATGAAGGGTTTTATTTTTCTTCAGCCTAAGGTCTTTTTATTTCACCATTGTTTCCTCTCCTTTTCTTATTTCCCTTTTCTCCTTGCTCTTTTCTATTCATTTTTTGTCTCTTGGATCTTCACTGGACTCAACTGTTGAGCCTCATGGACCTACTCTTTATATTTCTAAACTTTCTTTTTGTATTTCATATGTCTTTTTGGTTGATTTTTTTTTCCTTTGGGGTAATTGGAATTTCTTGGTTAAGTTTCCAATCAATAGCTTAGTTTTTAACTCTAGTATAATAGGTGGTAGACCATTGACTTTTTTAATTTCCAGAAAAAAAATCTTTCTTGGTGTGTTGTATAGGTACAGTAACCTTGCTAATTTTTCTAAGGATAATATTTAAGATTTCTAGGGTTATTTTTGATCCACTTATTTCCTCACACTTCTGTTGATCTTCTGCTGTCTGATTATATTTAAAAATCCTGTAGGTTGTCTTGAGGTACTCTGCCACCTGCAGGTGATTCTCGTGTGAGGTGAAGACCTAGGCATGCCACTTTTGGGTCATGGGGCAGGTGTATGGTTGTATGCATTCTTGTTCACCTTGGTTTTTTTTAATCTAATATAATATGTTCTACAGATTTTTCTTATCATTATTTGTAAAGCCCCTCCTTTTTTAAAGATTCATATACTCAATTGTGTGGATGCACTATGGTTATTTAACTATTTCTCTGTTGATTTGCACACTTAAATACTTTCAATATTAGGGAAGTACCTCAATAAATAATACCATTAATCTATCAATTCACACATGTGCAGTTATATCTACAAAATAAATTCTCAAGGGAGAGATTGTATACTCAAAAGCTAAATGGGTTTTTAATTTTGACAAATATCAATAAATTGCCTTTTCACGTTAAACATGAGGAAAAAAAATCCCAGGAGAGATGGGTGATCATGGTTACATAAAATGTTGATTCGAGAGTGTATACCAGATTGTCATTTCAAAACTTTGAGTCCAGTGTTTCCTCCACGGTGTTGTACTACTTTTTACTGTGTCCTCTTGCAGGGATTGTACCTATGCTGGTTAATTTGGTGGAACTGGAAAAATATCTGCATTTGCACTGGAGCTGTTCAGGATAACTAAGGGATAACTTTAAGCCCTCTCAGTCTGCTGCAGAAAGAAGTGGTTTAAACTACAGATATTTATTTCTCAAATGTTTATTTCCCTGATCTGGGAAGACCAAGATCAGGACGCAGGCATGTCTAATGTCTTATGAGGCCATTTTTTTCCTGCTTTGCATACAGTCATCTTCTGGAAGAATCCTCACGTGGTAGACAGAGTAAGTCCTAGTCTTCCCTTTCTTACAACACTAATTTCTACACAGGACCCCAACTTCCTGATATCACCTAAACTTAGTTACCTCCCAAGGGCTTCATCTTCTTATACCATCTCATTAGGAGTTAGGGCTTCAACCTAATAAATTTTACAGGGACATAAATATACAGTCCATAACACCCACCTATCTTCCATCCCTCATGGTCTCATTGAGATAATTTAAAAGATAAATCCATATAAAAATGCAAAGTAATATCACTATTTAAAAAAAAGGAGAGCTAGCAATTGCGTAAAAAATGTA